TTATATACAATTCAAATGTATACATTTTTTAAGTGCACATTTTATACTATATTCAATTACTACGTTAGGTAATAGGTACCATCATTACCACACTGGCAGCGTAAAACATAGATCCATGCTGGTCATGGTTTTGTACCAGAGATTTCCACGCTTCCTAAGTATGTCCAGGTGCACTGTGTGCGTACGAGGATTAAATCCTTAAATTACAAATTAGCACAACTCAAGGAATGTAATGGATCGATCAGGCAATGACAAATCCAATTTATGTGCGATGCCTGCATGAACAAATACAAAATCTTTCATAAAAACAAATCTGGATGCCCTTTAAGAATGCCCTTGACAATATCCGTATCGTCTGGTCTTCGAGGTGAAAAACTATTCCAGTAAGATTACTCATTTTGCATTTAGTTAACACCTCAAACGGCAAGGGCAAACATACAAACAAATTATAGACTTTAATATGACAATTTGCACTGCTACTGAGAAAGAGCCTGCCTTTTGGGAAGTGGGTGCACCCTTCTGATCCCTCTCCACTGCCTCATAGATTACGGGTTGCCTCTATTGCCTCACTATAACAGTCATTAGCGATGTCAGGGAACAGCACTCTGAAACCTGCTTCTCATCATACTGAACAGAACACTGCCATTAAAGGCGGCTAGTGAGCTGAATTATTTATTCAAGGCCAAAGCCAAGAATTTTCTCTGCACTTGCAAAATAAGGTTACAAAGGGGCATTTGCTGTCTGTCTACTGGCATTCCCTGATAGAGGACAGAAACAGAGAGAAGGGGTAATTACAGAAAAGCCACACGAGATGTTAAGCTGTACCAGACAGAAACACAGAATTTATACGTTATTGATCTTAGAGGAGATTGTTTTGCAAAGAGCAGCAAAGTACAAAAAGTGCACAGATAGAAACATGCAGTGCAAAAGAGAGACAAAGTGTAAAGACATTACACATAGAGCAAACAAGTACATACACTGCAAACAAACTAGTATCGTGGAAGAACGTGGACACAGCTCCCCCCCTACCAGAAATTAATCAGTCAAAATCCCATCACCTAGGAAGTTCACTGCGAGCTGCACAGCTGTGGTGCAGTGGCTGAACCACGCCCTGGGCTGCCATATGCATGATCAGGGTATCTCTGATGCCAAGTAAGTATTTTGGTTTTAAGCACTGAAGTGGAAAACTCCAAAAAAAAAAAATGGAGTTCGGTTGAATGCTAGATCAAGACACCAGTGGGTAAAGATGATGGAAGAAAAGATGATCCCTCAAACTAACAAGTCACTAAAGACTTCACAGCTAGTGAACAGCAGATATCACAGACAGCTGTTGGGTTTGCAACATATTCAACTACATTTTTTTATGATTTCAAAGGACAGTTTCACAGAATGTTTGCATTCTGCTCAGTATGACAGGCTGGGGAAAGCTAGGGCGACAATTTCTCATATTTACAGGGCTGCACGACGGATCACTGAATCCAGGCTGTCAAAGAAGCAGGAAGCTAAATCAGCACATTACTCACCTTGAATTTTCAGCTCTAGCGGCAAAACGTTCAGATGCGGAGGAACAGCTGAGGGTGGGCAGGTACCAGATTCGGGGCTGTCAGCTCTCACATACTGAAAGCCAGACGTTGGTGACTAAATCACTCCATTCTCTCTCACACCAAGCCAGTAATATTTCACTCTGTGGAACAGCCACAAGCTGAGCGATTAAGACTTCTTTGAATGAATAGTGTAACCATTATGCACACTAATGGCAAACAAAAAATCTTCTCTGAATTTGCCACTATACCATTTCTCAAATAACCAGTTCCTTTCAACTGATTTCACCTACTTGGATTACAGTTGCCTATAATGGTATTGTGAAAAAAAATCTATTTTCAAAAACAAAACCCCTAAAACAGTTTATTTTAGCAGTCACATTATCTGCTCAATTTCAAGGAAAAATGTTTTTAACAATATACTGTATAGTGTTATATATGTTTTTAAAAATGTATATTTTGCACTTTGGGTTTTCACCGTGTCCTGGGTTGTTCCCTGCCTTGCATCAGTAGCCTCTGGTTCTGTTGTTAAACTTGGGCCCAATTAATTGAGCCAATGCTCAGTTTTTGCTGCTTCTCCCTTATTGACTGTAGCAAATTTCCTCAAAAAGCTCAAACATACTCAGAGCCTATCAGGCTGGGTGCTGGGTTTTTGGGTTCTAGAACATTGTTAAAACATCCATCTGTCCCTTTTCCATAACTGCTTATTTATCTAACTGCACGTCCTTGGACTGCAGGAAGGAGCCTGGGTAGCTACAGGGACATAGGGAGAAGACACTTCACACAAACAGAGGGGCGGAATCAAACCCACAGCTGCAGAGGTGTTAAACTATTGTGCTAATCACCAAGCATATGTTGGACCACAAATGAAGGGAAGGTTTTATTAGAGTCCCGTTCAAACGGGTACTATCCATTCTGTCTGTTCTGTTGAGTTCCCTGAAACATGCATGCACTACTCCATCATTTTAGCTAGTTGAATATACACCCATCTATCCAGCCATTCTATCTGGGGCCAGGGGTAGCAGTCTAGGCAAAGAATTATATATGTATATATAAATAAATAAATATTAGGGTTGGGCCCATTTCATTGATCAATTCGAATTCAAATCAGTAAAGGGAACTGCAGTTAGGACTGGGGGAAAAACTATGAGGAACATAACTGGAATTAAATACAAATTTCAGGGAGATTTACTAATTACTAATTACTTCCATTTCTTGAATTGATAAATGCATTCCAGAATGGCCCCAAGCCTAATATTTATTTATTCCCATAACTGCTTGTCCTATTCAGGGATTCAGGGTCATTGGGGGTCTGGAGCCTGTCTCAGAGGCTATGTATGGGCACAATGTTGGGAACAACCCAAGATGGGAAGCTAACCAATCACAGGACTCTCAAACAACTTTCACACCTGTGGGCAATTTGGTAACTCCCATCACCCTCAGTGTGTTTTTGGGCTGTGGGGGGAGACCGGAGTACCAGGGGGAAACCCCACAATGAGATATATATATATATATATGTGTGTGCAGGCAAGTCTTAGGCAGTCAACAAACATGATGTTAAAATGATCTTTGTATTGGTTAAAACTATATTGTCTGTAAAAGTGTGCTTGCTTAACGATTTCAGAACCTCTCCTAAGGTCACCCCAATATTAGCAGCGACCATCCAGTACACCCATGTATTTTTGGACTCGACCACTAGCATACCTCATGTAGCTAATCAATGTCTCATTGAGATTTTAAACTTGTGGAAATTAATGAATGAATGAGCTGGTGGTGAAATTTAATACATGGAATGGCTGAGGTGCCCCTAAGGGGAGGTTTGGAAACCAAGGTTGTTGATGCCATCCATCAATACATTTTTGGAGAAAAGATTAAATTCCTTTTGGTTTTTATTGTTACTCTTAGCTTGCACATGATTTAATGCTAAACTGGGTTTTTGGTCTGAGGAAATATATACTTACTACCCAGATAAATAGTTTTACATTTTTTTTACTAAAAACTTTGGTATCACCCCCGTGTTTGTGAACAGCAAAATGCTGACCACTGGTATGTGCAGAAACAAATGAACAACATAGAGGGAATAAAATCACACAACTCAACTCAGCAATAAAATACTGAAACTAGCTGCTGCTCTTTACTTTGACTATTCAAAATAATTAAAAATTAGTCATTTAATTAACTGCGGTATAAGGTTATTTCCACTCATGTCCCAGAAAGAAATTTGCACATGGTTTACGGTTAGGTTCATAAAATGTAAACAATTAAGTCAACGTCATAAAAGTATCTCATAAGAATCCTGCAATAAATAAAGCTTTGGATATTCATTAAATATTAGTATTTATCCTCCAATTTTGTACATCAAATATTTTCTTTTATTACGTATTACTTTACTTGCTACGACAATTTTATTATATCTTAATATCCTTAAAAAAACAAACAATGCATTTCATTGACTGATTAAACCAGGCCCGACGTGTGTCTTGCTCATGCCAGGGGACAAGATGAAAACTGAGAAAATACTATTCTTATTCTCCTTCTTTCCGTGGGAGTTACTGGCGGTTGGCAACCAGTGCAGAAAATATTGTTAAATTTCATTTTACAAATAAACACACTCCCCCCACCGCCACACTACTCTCTTTCCTGGGGAGGAAAAACCCGGAACCGGAAACTCCACGCGCAGGTAAGCCAGCCGTGTTCGGTTCTCCTCGGCACTTTCCGTGGCCTCCGATTTCCCCACAGTGAATGACAGTGCCGGACTCCGCCGGACGGAGCATAAAGGGCTTTCCTCGTCGCTGGATTTCGCCACAGGAGCGATGATGTTCCGAGGTCTTGGTTTGTGAAGCTGATATATCGGACTGATATGTCAACCTTGACTCGTATCCCAGGTAGGGACGTTTTTAATATGCTGGCATCGCTGTTAATGGAACGGGATGTTTGTCCCGCATTGCGGCCTGCGCTAGCAGCCAAAGCGGGGCTCGCATCCACCGGGGCAGCGGCAAACGGCCCCCGTCCCAACGCTTGTAATACACAACCCACCAGCTGGCTTTATGAGCAACTTTAATCGCTACAGTCATTAATCTCTGCTGGCACTTTCGTAAGGTTGTCCTAATATATAGGCGCTATGTCTTAAATGAGGGGATTAAGTCGGTCGCTGGCTAATTAACTAGCCTACAACATGTCAGTCTCAGCCAGGGTGAATATTTCACCTTGCTAACAGCTAACTCTACAGCTAGGTTCATCAAAAACTCATACTCTGTTCAACCAAGGTGTATAAATGTCAGCTGAGTTTTTTTCGAGTTATTTTTTTGTGTACGTGAAAAGTAAGTGGTCGTAGCCCCGTGGCTAGCTGGTTGCTAATTTGCTGGTGGGCTCTGTTGTTTACGTTTTGACATCCCTCTTGTTCGTAGTGAACGAGGTCAGCCTGCGCTCCGGGGACCGAATCGCGGTGCAGTTTGGCGTCCCCGAAGCCCGGAGGTATCGCTTTTCACGGGCCAGTTCTGAGTTGTTGTCGCTAAATGTCACCAGCAGTAACGAGCCCAGCCTTGTTTTCCTGGGTAGGTTGGAATAGCTAGCAGGTCAGTATGAATTCAGGAAGCACCGCTGGGTTCACACTCTGACATATATCTTCTAACTTTGGCTTTCGGTGTCCAGTGGCGTCTAAGAGGGCGAAATTGGCTGGGGGAAGGAAGCTACTTCTTTGGGAGATGACGACCTGTGTTAATTGTTTGTGTGTTCAGCCCGATTAATAGTCCGGCTACCTTTGGCCCGCCTCTGTTATTTGGATATCTGCCGTGGTCGTGTGTATGATTCACTCAGACAGCTGTTACACCCACATAAACTGCGTTATTGTTGTGTGGACCAGATAGGTCTTTACGTAGAAGGAATGATAGATGTTACCGTTTTTCTTTAGTGTATATATAAATGTTTTATGTGATGATATCGCAGGTACTTATTTTTTATTATTAAGAATTCGTCCTTACTGCTCGCTTCTGGTCATTATTGCGCTTCTGTGTTTTAATTTGTTTATATAATATATGTAGGCCTACTGCAACATTAGACGCAAGTTAATAGTTTATTGTACTTGATATTGTCCAGCAGTGTCCACTGGCCAGTACAGAAATTGTTTTGTTCGTGTGACTCATTGTTTTGCTTATTTGGCGTGCGGTTTATAGCATTTATTTAATCAATATTAAATACTGCACTCTGCATTTTGCCGCACCGCTGTCGTTTAAGCAACTGCTAAACTGTTTAAAAAATAGTACCGCATGCTTCTAAAATTTACCTATGTAGTGCTGCAGCGGTGTGATAATTTTGACCGATACTGATAAGCGATATATTTTCCCGTAATATCGCCGATACAAATAACTGACTAAACTTTGAGCCATTTGCCGATTGCTGCGGAAAAACGTTACATCGCTTTTTAATTCTTTGCGAAAATGATCAATAACAGATTTAGTAACGAATTGAAAACATGCAGTGGGCCATATAAACAGGTCCGGATCCGATGCCCCCCCCCCCCCCCACACGTTAATTAATCTGGCTAATCAATCCTATTATTAATAGTATTAAATTCGATCATTTATACAGCTAAGTAAGAAATCCGGCTTGGTGATACATGCCCCATTCGGGAATTCAGTCCACGCCTTGATTAGCGGATTATTGACGTCAAATCGTTCTCTTATTTAGGCTATGGGGCCCCATAAACAAGACACGCCCCTGGCCATCCCCATAAATACATCTGGCCTCTGATGGCCACCCCAATCAAAATTTTCTACCAGGCACATTTCCATATAAATCTACCTCTCTCAGTTTGAGACCTTCGCTAAGAGGAAATTCTTCCTCCTGCATTACGTAAAATGGCTGCTCATTTTATTATTATCGCAGCAATGTCTTTGGATTTGTTAATTTTGAAATTGATATGGTTTAAATATCGACCAAGACTGACACAAACAACAAACTCACATCTTTGATTTTTAATCAGTATCGGTCACTCCTGATACATTAACTGATAAATTGTTCACATGTATATCGCCCTGTGCTGAGAACAAAACTGAGCGGTGATTGTGACATTTTCTACAATGACACCACCATAAGGCCTGGTTCATACTTACTGCGGACGTACTGCAGACTTTTTGAAATATACAAGCTGCTTGAGCTTACCTGTCTCTCTTACTTTTTACTGTAAAGCACTGTTTCTCAAACCAGTCCTCGGGGGAGCCCCAGACAGTCCACATTTTTGTTCTCTCCCCTTTAACACTTATTAGTGCGGCACCCTGGCAAGCAACCTTCCTGTATGTGAAATGACGGACATTTCAGGGAGGCTTGCAGCCTTATTTCACAATTCCCTCCACACATTACATTTAAACTGGAAGCTGACTGAATGGTGATGGTGAAGACATTTTAACTTCTGATGTATTGATACAGAGAATGTCGAAGGCATTCCTGCATCTAATTAAATGATTGAAACATACAGGCTTTACTGTTACTCAAACTGCTGGAGAAGAGACGTTGAAACTGTCTTTCCTGGAAACTTGTTCCAGAAAATATAAAACATGTCAGAATCAGAATCTTTTTAATGCCATGTACAAGGAATTTGTTTTGTTGGCGGCAGTGGCATTAAATCTACAAGTAAGCATGCAATCGGGACAAAAAAAAATCAAGTAGAATAAAACAGAAATTGAAAATGTGCAGTATATAAATAACATAAACATAAATACAAATAATTGTAAACCTAATAAAGGTCAGATGAGATATAGGGTACAATCAGCTTTGGGTTTTGTACAAATAAGCAAAAAGGGTGACTTAATATGGAAAAGTTCCCTAAGTGCTAGTGTGCATTTCATGGCGCTTTAGGAGGGCAATAACCTGGGGAGTGAGGGGCCAGACATTTTTTTTCCCTGACTTCTGTTCCTCATCCTTTATGAGTACAGGACATAAATAGGGAAGAGCTGACAGCCAGTGGTCTTCTCTGCACATCACACAATTCGCTGATGTTGATGTAGAGCCAAACCAGACAGAGATGGAGGATGTAATAATTGGTTCTGTTTTGGCCATGTAGCTCTGAGCCAGCATAGTCTGTGACAGCTTTAGTTTCTTCAGCTGACACAAGAAGTACAGGTGCAGTGGGGCCTTCTTAATTAAGCATGTGATGTTTTTGTCTCATTTGAAGGCTTGTTGGATGGTGGTGCCTAGAAATGTGGAGGTCTCTGCTCTGCTGGCTATAGTGCCATGTATGACTGGTGGAAGTGGTGGTGGGGGCAGGGGTTCTGCAAGTCAGTGATCATTTCCTCAGATTTTGTGTGTTCATGAAACCAGTCGACTTCCTTTCGGTAATTCGACTCCTTTCTGATGAGTCCAATTGGAGTGGAGCTATCTGCAAACTTAAAGAGCTTTGCAGAGTTACTGTGTGAAGTGCAGCTGTTAATTTGTAAGGAGAAAAGCAGGTGAGAGAGAACACATCCTGGTGGAGCACTTGTGATGAGGAGGAAGGGATTTGAAATGTGATTTCTGATCTTCATAACCTGTTTCCGGCTGGTCAGGAAGTTGTGGATTTGATAGCAAAGAGATGGCTGGACACTGATTCATGAGGTTCCCAGACAGTAGGCCAGGGTTGATAGTATTAAAGGAAGAGCTGAATTTCACAAACAGAACTTTGGTATAAGTCTGAGAGATGTCCTGGTGGTGTTCAATGTAGTGCAGGATGATCGTTAACTGATCAGTTTCATCTATATGTAAACTATAGAGAGAGCTTTAGTTGTAGTCTTGTGGTATTGTTGGATAACTTTCACAGCACCACAGAGGTCTGGGCTGTCAGTCTTTAGTCATTCAGACAGAAGATTTCTTTTAGGGACTTGATTAATGATTAGGGATATAAAGTGAGCAGGTACTGTGCTACCCTGATTGAAGAGGTCGGCAAAGATGGAGGCCAATGTATCAGCACAGTGCCTGAGTGTCGCAGGTGAGGAGGCAAGCTGTCCTTCTGGTCCTTTTTTTCTTCTGAAGATGCATTTCACTTTTTGATCAGTGATGGTGGGAGTGGAAGGTGGGGTCAGAGGAGTCTTTGACGAGATCTGGTGGTGGGGCATGGGGAGGCAGACAACGTGTCACAGGGTGACTGGTCAGGTTGGGGCAAGGGGAGTGTGGTCATGTCAGGCTTCTCAAATCTTAAATAAAACATGTTGAGCTGGTTTGGCTGTGAAAGGTCTGCTCTAAATGATTGTTGGGTTTGGATTGTAGTTGGTGATGGTGCCGATTATCTTCCAGGTGGAGGAACAGTCAGAAGAAACATGTTCCTCTAATTTGTCACTTTGTCACTGTATTGGTGTTTGGCAGCTTTGATTGCCTTGTTGAAGGCATGTTTGGCCTTTTATGCTTGCCACCTGTCACCCCTCCTCAGCAGAGCTTAGTTTCCCCACTTCAGCTGAAAATCAAGGTTTGTTGATGTTGTACCTGTCTGTGGTCTTTGTAGTCATGGTGAAGATTAAGATCATCACACACACCTGCACAATGTCCAGACGAATTCAGCTAGTCAACTAATGGATGTTTCACATGTTGCTGGTTAATGGCTGGATTTTGGTGTTCATTCTTACACTTTTAGAACAGGCTGCCAGATCATCAGATTATCGACTGGGGTAGTTGGACTGTTACAGACAAATATTGGTTGTTTAACTTCATTTTAAATGGGTGTATTTTTAACAACAACATGTAGACGTGGAGCCACTGGCCCTGATTCTAAAGAAAGCTCTGTGCTTTGTTCCAGGTCGTCGTTGGATCGAGTAGAAGCAGAGCAGTGCCATGTACTCAGAGTGGAGGTCGTTGCACCTGGCGCTCCAGAGTGACCAGGGACACCTAAGCGTCCTTCATACGTATCCCCCAACGGTGGGCCGTGAAGTGGCCAATACCGTGGTGCGCCCCCTTGGGGCCACCCTCAGCAACCCCGGATCAGAAAGCATCCTCAAAACCGACAAAGAGGTATGCTGTTATGGTCTGTTATGGTTTCCTTTCAACAAAGCCTCAGTTCTATGTCTCTTGCTGTCTGGGTGCAACTGATTTGAATGCATAGATGGAAGAAGCCTGTTTTACAGCCTCACAAGACATTAATCTGTTCGTTAATTTCTTACGTACTTATCCATTGACTTTTTGGCAACAGCAGCTGTATTAATTAGCTTGTGTTAGCACATCGGCTGTCTGCATTCTTATTGCAGGAGTACCAACATCTTAGGTCTTCTTGTCCTTATTATATTTTCAAATTTCTTTAGCCACAATGATCTTCCTTAACCCACAGTATTTATAATCTTGAGTAATTTATGGTTAATATGGAAAAATGATTAAAATATAATTTCTCTCTTAGGAGATCTGTTTTACTTATTCTGGGTGCATTGGATTCTGAGCATGTATTTCCAGTGCATTCAATGCCATCTGGCCTCCCTGATCATGAACTACATGATCAAAAGTTTTTGAGGCTTGAGGACTGTGTGTCGGAGATGGTGCTGAGCAGCACCGGGGCACCTCAGTGATCCTCCTGTCTCCCCTCCATTCCATCCATTGCACGATGGACTTCCAGTACAACACCACCTACAGGAGTTCTCTGACAACTCCTCCATTGTAGTGTGCATCAGCAGAAGAATGGAGTCAGAGGCTTTTGTCTTGTGGTGAAGGGAGATCAACCTGCAGCTCAGCAGTGGTGGGTTTCCAGCATGCCAGGGAGACTTGGAGACCAGTTACCATCTGGGAGGGAGTGAATTGAGGTGGCGCAGTGTTACAAGTACTTGGGGCAGCAGACTGAACTGGGCGAACAACAAAGAATGCTCAGAACAGACTCAACTTTCAGGGGAAGGTCAGGTCTTCAGCTGAGCAAACTGATGGAGATATTTTACCAGTGTATAGTGGCCAGTGTACTCCAATCTACTGTGGAAGTCCGATAAGCTCAGGAGATGCCAGATATCTAGCAGGAAAGTCAAATCCACGTCAGAACTGCCCTTGGACCCTCTGGAGGGAGTTGCAGAGAAGAAGATGTTGACAAAATCAACATTATAAACAATTCTACCCATACCTCACCTTTTAGTCCCCAGCATTTCACCCCAGTGTGCTAAGATGCATTACTGGGGATCTTTTTTGCCTGCGTCCTTGAGACAAATCAGCACCTCCTCCTGACATTACAGAAATGGACGACACCATACATAACTGCATATGACACTGTACAACCCTGCTAATTGATGTTCACATTTCTTCATGGATATCTTAAAATTTGCACAACCTTGCTTATATTGCAGTGTTTCCCCTAGGTGTACAGCTTTGGGGAGCTTTGGGGGGGGGGGTAGTTTGTTTAATAAAAGGACAATGTATAGACCTGTTCTATAGGAAAACTAACCTTAAATTACTTCTGTTGTGATCTGGCGCTATATAGAAAATAAAATTAACTTGACCTTCAAGGGGGGGGGCGGGAGGTGCCGTTGGGGGGGTGGGGCGCCCCCCTAACATAATTATAGGGGAAACACTGCATTGTGTTTCTGTATGTACCTTTGCACTATGTTCCTTTGCTGTTGTGTGCAAACCGATTTCCCCCCCGGGATCAAAGTATATCAATATATTCTTTTCTTCCCAGGTCAAATGGACGATGGAAGTGCTCTGCTATGGCCTGTCACTACCTCTGGAGGGAGACACCGTCAAGCTGTGTGTGGATGTCTACACGGACTGGATGATGGCGCTGGTGGCCCCTCGGGACTCCATCCCTCAGCCCATCATTAATGAACCCAACCTCTATGTTCAGACCATCCTGAGACACCTACACAATCTCTTTCTCCCCAGGTACTGTGGAGTTCCTGGTAGCCTTGCTTCCGCTCTTTTCTGTCCCAAGACGGCCCTTAACGCTCTCTCCCATCTCTCCCATGTGGCAGGCAGGAGCCAAGCAGCCCCATTCACTTCCGCCTGTGTCAGCAGGTGCTCTCGGCAGTGCAGATGCTGGCTAAGCAGTCCAGCACCATGGTCCGGGAGACCTGGGAGGTTCTGCTCCTCTTCCTGCTAAGGATCTGTGACACCCTGTTGGCCCCACCCACCGTTGCTGGTTGGTCCCACCAAAGCTTCCATACGCTCTCCTGACTGTTCAGTTACTGCTTAAGCCTGTGTGTACCATACTATAGATGTAGTATTAGTTCAGGGATTCCTGTAAAAGCATTATGTAGAGAGAGTTGGGGATGGTAAGTAGTTCATGAGTGATATGCTTTATAAAAGCTTGAGCATTTTTTGTTTTGGGTTCCAGAATTTGCTGAATTCCCTTGTGGTATTCAGCTGGTTAAAGAGCAAGAACATTAGCATAAAACTGCCTTGAGTATGATTATTAACTTTTTTTTCTTTTAGAGAGTCAAGGATTTGTGTTAGGCTTGGAAGGGTAAAATCAGACGGCAAAGATGGCAGTTAAATTTTTTGTGAAACTAATAACAAGCCCTGTGTTTTGGGTCAAATGGAGCAGGGTAATAAAATGTGGTCTTCAGGTCAGCAGAACTGCTCTGTCAGCTGTGGAAAAAGTTAATGCAGCTAATTGTATCCTGGAAGCACTTTAAAAAAAAAAAAAAAAAAGAAAAATGTCCATTTCCTTCAGGTGGGATAGCAGAAAACTTAGCAGGGAAGCTAATGGGCGTGCTGTTCGAGGTGTGGTTACTGGCTTCCGCCCGCTGCTTTCCGACGCCGCCCTACTGGAAGACAGCCCGTGAGATGCTGGCCAACTGGAGACACCACCCTCCAGTGGTGGAGCAGTGGAACAAGGTTATATGTGCCCTTACCTCCAGGTAAGCACTGGTTGGCCCATGACACCTGTTGACCACTTTGTCATCAGGAGAGGAAGGTTCTGGAAATTGATAGAACATAAGGCCACTGAAGGAAACCGTCTGAGATCAGATCAGAACAAAGAAAAAATGTAGACGCAAGGCAGTGAGTGTGGTATGAAATTCCATTGATTGTCTCATGAAAAAAGTGAAGCTTTGTTTATTCAAATCAATAATTTGGCTTCAGTATCTGGTTATTCATGATATTTATGTTTTTTTCTTCTTGGCATTTACCAAATGTTGGGTGCTGTTGGGTGCTGTAGCTGTTCAGTAGCTGTTCAGGATGAGCATTTTCTGTAATGGGTTTTGTTTTTTGTGCCCATGTTGCTCATCTCCGTCTTGGTATGAGGAGTTTTATTGACACTTGTCTGTATTCCCTGGTGCCCTCCACCCTTTCCCCCCCAGATTGCTCCGGTTCACCTATGGACCTTCATTCCCTCCGTTCAAAGTTCCAGATGACGATGCCAGCAAGATTCCCACCGAGATGGACGACGACTGCGTGGCTCAGACCTGGCTGCGCTTCCTGCACATGCTCAGGTGAGGGCGTTGCAGCTATGGGGCTTCCTCCTGACACCCTGAAATCTTCGCAGTCTCAAACTGTGTAATACCTCATAATTCGTGATTGATGCTTATCAAACTTACAGTAAAAATCAGTTCTGTTCCTGGATTTCTAACTGGAGCAGTTTAGTTTAATTACTGTGCTTAACTGTGCTAGGTCAGGGCTGTTCCTCCAGAGTTCAGGTTCCTCCAGCATGCAGCCTCACTGTCTGCCCTGAATGGTGTTCTCTAGTAACCCAGTGGACCTGAGCAACCCTGCCATCATCAGCACCACGCCCAAGTTCCAGGAGCAGTTTCTCAACGTCAGTGGGGTCCCCCAGGAGATCGTCCAGCACCCCTGCCTCAAACAGCTGCCCCAGATCTTCTTCCGTGCCATGAGGGGAGTCAGCTTTCTTGTGGATGCTTTCCTCGGTAAGCAGGGACCTGGCCCACGAGTCTGGCAGTTTGAGGCATACGGTTCTCCTTGGGGCAGCATGTGGTTCAGTGAGCTTAAGCCTCTGTGCGTGTGATCGGAAGGTCGCAGGTTCGAGTCTGGCTTTTGCAGAAGAGTCACATGTCCATGGGCCTTTGAGCAAGGCCCTGAACCAGCAGCTACATGGGGGCCTCTGTAGGTGGCTTCCCTTCACTGCCAAGCTTGCTCTCACCTGCATACATACCTGTCTGTGTGTCACGGGGAGCGAGAGTGGGTAGGCAAGAAGAGAATTTCCCCACGGGGATCAATAAAGTGTCATTGTATTATATACAGTAAGGGTAATTCATTCTGGAAAAAGAAGTTGACCACCCTCATTCTGTTTGGTGTTGCAAATGTCACTTTGCTCTCCGCTGTAGGTGTTGCGGCCTCAAAGTCAGAGACCCGTGACCATCTGCCATCTTATGGTACTTATTCGAATGCGAATGAAATCGTCTGCCAAATCGGGGCTGTGGTGTTTTTGGACGACGTGGCTGATTTTCCAATGATGAAAACGGGTCACAGAAAGAGCAGGAATATGTTGCATTTGTCTGGCATCCAAGAATACGATATTCAGGAGCTCCTTAGTATCCCTACCAGCTAGATCACCTGTTAAAGTGAGATTATTGTATGATTTTGTGTTTGCGTTAAGAATCAGACAAATGCTTCATCTTCCTGTCGCCGAGTGACTGCTTGCTGTGGCCTGACGTGCGAACTGTGGCCCGAAACATTCAGCCAGATCTTTTTCACATGGTGTCCTTCCACATTCTTGCTCTGACTTTCAGCAGTTAGTTTAGACCTCTGCGCAAATGGAAATTACTTTGACTTCCTGGCTGTTACTTTGTTACTTTGGTTTCCTGTGCCAGGTGTATGACGCGTCGGTCTGTGAGTGTATGTGCCAGGACATCACAGGTTCAAAACCCACCTTGCGGTTTTTAAATTTTATTATTTATTATACTGAAAAATGGGTGTGCATTTCTGAGTTTGTTTTTTTTGCAGATACTTGTCACCCTCTCTCTCTTTCTCCTTTAGGGGTTACAGTGAGTAGGACCTATATACGCACCAGACTACCCTCTTTAGGTACATTTAAGCTTGTGTGAATCCAATCAGCAAGGTCACCTTTTAATGCTTATGTGGATGTTAGGTCCATAAGTTCAATGATTTTTATCTTGATTGAAATTAGAATACAGAATATCATTAAAAAAATATTCAATTCAGTAGCATGACTGTTAATGGCAGATAAGTCGTTAAATTTGGAAGAAAAGCATTCAGACCGTTATTAGGAAGGAAGCCTACAGAGCAGCTGCTGAAATGAGCATTTTAAAAGTTCAAACCTCTGCTGCTCTGTAAGCCTCAGAGCATCACTCCCCTGCCACATTTCAGCCTTGTGTTTTGGTTTTTATGGGGCAGCCTTACAGCCTGTCACGGTGCCCGGGTACGAATCCGCCAGAGAGCCCCTAGACAAACACAGGCGTGCATCCGTTCCCAGCATGCCTGGCGCGGTCTGGATGCTTCTGACTGCTTGACATGTAAATGGGTACACTGATGTCTGTCTTTCCTAGGTTTCGTGACATCTAGGAACAATTTTCGAGAGAGGCTACCCTATGGTATTCAGCACTGCATGAGGGTTGGACTTTGGTTTTCAAGGGATTGGCAGAAATTGATCATGTGGTCCTAGCGGCACATGTTAAATCAGTGTTTGTGTATGCAGCCGAATGTCAGAGACTCTGTGTTTGTGAAACATTATGCTTTCAGGAGCACAAGGCCCCATCGGTCCTGTAGTCTGTGAGTGGCGTTTGCTTGATTGTGATTCGCTTGCTGTGCACTCTGTGCCGTTTCGAGGCTGCTTTTGTATCCCGGAAAGGATATAAAATGCACTCCACCACTAGAAAAACTGTAGTAGCAGTGCTTACACTTGAGAGCTGCATGGAGAGAGGTAAGTCGCTGTGATCCTCTGCAGCAGGAAGTGGCTTTGGTGAAGGGTCCGTGAACATGTGCACCTAGAGGGCTTGCTGTTTCTTTACCGAATGATCTAGGCTGTGATCCTAGTGAATCAGGAACTCTTGGGTTTCTGTGATTTTATGGTCATGGGAGACTTTAAACTAGCATCCAGATCATTTGACAGTGGTGAATGGCACCCTGTTCAGAGGGACTTCTGCAGATTGTGATTTTGCTTTTTGGTTAAAGGGTCTTCACCAGTTAGCTTTGTAATGGATTTTTACGCTGCATATTTTAAGGTGCTAATGCAGTTTCCTCCTTCAACCCCTGCATCTCTTCCTTAGGTATCTCTCGGCCGAGATCAGACAGTGCCCCGCCCACACCTGTGAACCGGCTGAGCATGCCACTGCCCCCCAGTGCCATAAACACCACACCCCCACACAACCGTCGGCATCGGACCACAGTGGTCAAGACGACCAGCAAAGCTTCCACGGTAAGCCACACACATGGCAAATACCATATCCCCCCTGGTCATAGTCATATGTTAACAACAGACTACAATATCTATAATCAGAGGTGGAAAGTTCAGGTTCAAAAAGTACAAATCCAGACCAAGATTTTGTATCAACTAGCCAGTTGAGTACTCTGTGACTGTGACTCTTTATACTGAATTGGTTGGCTGAAACCAAATCTTGTTCTGGATTTGTACTTCCTGAACCTGAATTTTCCACCTCTATAATGGGTCCCACTTCTTGACTCCACAAGCTTGTACTGAGCTTCTTTTTAGACATTTTTAGAGAGTAGCAGTGACTTCCACATCTAAACTTAAGAGGAAGTTTCATGAAGTTGTCAGATTTCGTGGAGTTGAGTTGACATTTAGTCTCACTCAATACAGTTGCATGCTTGCAGTGTCTGTTTAGCTGTTTCCCTGTAGCCTGTTCTGCATCTGCCAGCTGCAGTGTAACTGTTGGCATGTTTAATCTCCTCTCCAGGGAACTACTCCCCACCAGCCCAAAGTGTCTCACCCGACCACCTCCTCGTCCCCCCTGTCCAGTCCCAACCAAACGAACGCAGAGCCTCGCCCTCTGCCAGCCCCCTCCAGACCAAAGGTCAACAGCATCCTCAACCTTTTTGGCCAGTGGCTTTTTGATGCCTCACTAGTGCACTGTAAACTCCATGATGGCTTCAACAGGGACAACACCATGACTGGTAAGGCTGGCTTTTGGTCTGTGGTGGCCTGCCATTCACCTTTGGTCTTTTTTTTTTTTTTTTGTTCTTTCACTGTTTTGTTTGCTCTGTGCCTTTTTCCTCTTCTGTTTTTTCCAAGTTCCTACCTGAAAGATTAACCGCACCATCTGCCGTGGCCTCCGTTTGAGTTCCATCTGAACACTTCAGCTCAGAGGCCTCCCAAAACCTCAGCTTTCATGCTAACCTGATTTGCTACAAATATGCTGTACAAATATTCACTGCGCCCCTGCTGGATGTACTGCTGCACAGTTCCCCACCTCTTCAACTCCAAGCAGCCTGCCCTGCTTGAACTCTTTAAACTTAGGTGACTTTTTCCAACATACAAAGGTTTCCAGCTTGAAAATAAACTTTTAAATAATGAGCAGTACCTTTACTGGGGCAATAGCAGAGACATGATTATGACAATAAGGAAAACAAGGTATATTTCCTTATCATTTTTCCCTGGTGATTGCCAGACAAAAATTGGTTAATTGCCAAGTGCGTCAGTTGAAACGGATAGGATGGAGTTGGAAGTGAACTGAATGTGGTCAGCTGCTCGGATGATTTCACTCTCTCGTTTCACACACCACGTGCTGTTGAAATTGAACCCAGTCTCCATGCATACGGACGTGACTGCTCCCTCCTTGAGTCTTAGCTGCCTCTAGGGGGCCTCCTTCCTGACTTCGTTTTCATCAAGGCTCTACTTCATCAGTGTCAAGGTGCTGGCTTCACTTTGGGTGCCCCTTGCTGCCATTTCGGTGCCTCGTTGCTGTGTTTAAAATGCCTCTGAGCTGAAGAGTCCTGTGTGCGTTCAGTAGCTGAAGTTTTTTGTCTTTAAATCCAGCGTGTGTTTCCCCGTCGTCCCTTTCTGTTCCTTCGTCCTGTTCTGCATGCTGGATGTCTGCGTTCTGGCTGGTATCTGACTGCTAATCTGCTGTGTTTAAGTCTCTGCCTGATAGCAGGCTCTCTAAAGTTACCAACATTTATTCTCTGAAAAAAAAAGTTTATATATCAGTTACCTGAAAATTTACAAACTGCCCACCATTTTGCAACCTTGATGAAGTACAGCATTACATTTTGGACTTCTGGACTTTTGGCTTTTAATTAAAAAGGCATATATATTTTCAGAGAACAACCCAAGGTTTCATTTTTAATGAAGTTGTACAACAAAAACCAAGAGAGGCTGCTTTTCAGAAATAAAATTGGTTTTACCATTTTAATATTTTATAATACTGCTGTCCTTTGATTTGTTTCCACTTTTATTTCTATTATCTTGCAGCATCTTTTATCCAAATTCTTCTTTCTTATAAATCTTGTAAGTAGGAGCATTAGCTTCTCTTAAATTGCAGTCAGTATTTTAGTATTTTCTTTTCCCCTCCATTGCCACCGTTGTTACTTTAACATTGCTGCCATTTCATCCTCGCTGTTTGCACTGCATCCTGGGGATGTGGACCTGCCCCTCCCCTTCCTGTGTTGCTGGCCAGTGCGGCAGTGCCAACCCCGTCTTTGTTAATCTAATCCGTCCCATTGACATTTCGTCATCACTCCATTTGTCCTGGGATTTTTACACTTACTTGCCATTGTTCCCCCCCCCCCCCAAAATGAGCCTTTGCATTTGCTCTGAGTTGATCTTAATTTGGTCTGTTGATTTGGTTATTTTTGTCTGTTGGTTGGTATTATTTTTGAATGGATCTTATGCATGATCTTGATGTCTGTCTTTTGAAACTTGCTGGTGACATCCGTTTGACGACAGATTCCCAAGTGGCAGATTTTTGCAGTTGCTCCTCTTCCATATCTGAGCTGCATACTGTAACGTGAGGACCCTTAGTAGAGTGTTTTAAACTCTCCAGTGTCCTCTCTGGTTTCTTCGTTGACATAGACAAAAATACATACAAGGCACCTCATGAGCCACAAGAGCTTCAAAGCGTTTTAAAAACCACTGGATGGAGAAATCTGTTTGTCAAACCAGCGCCTTGCTTACCATAAAGGTCACAGTAATTATTGCTTGCTGGAACTGCTCATGTTAGCCTAGCCAGTGCCCCTCATTGTGTCAGCATTGGCGAGTGTTCTGTGCGAGAGGTCACTGCAGTCTGAGATTGGTGGAGGCCAGGTCCGTTCAGGCCTCCTCTCCCTTTCTCCCCATCTCTGCTCTCAGCCCTGGCCACTCAAGCTGGCATGGAGCTCCGCAGAAAGGGATCCCAGTTGTCCACTGACACCATGGTGTCCAACCCCATGTTCGACACTAACGAGTTCCCCGAAAACTACGAGTCCGGCAGGGCCGAGGCCTGTGGGACGGTTTGTAGGATCTTCTGCAGCAAGCGAACCGGGGAGGAGATATTGCCTGTCTATCTCTCCAGGTGAGTGTGGTGTTTAAATGTCTGGGAATTCTTTGGTTTTTAGGCTGCAGTCCCATCTCTGTGTCTTCTGTGACATGCACGCACATACAGAGAGTGAAGCTTGGGGTCTGAACACAGCCATTTATCCAGCACCCGAGGGGCTGTTTTCAGAGTTAAGGGCTCAGCCATGATACCATCACCCTGCTGGCCATGGGATTTAAATGTGTGACCTTCTGATCAAAAGGTCAAAATTCCTAACCTGCAGAGCCCTGTGCTCATGTTCCCTTCTGAATTGCCTGTAATATTTAAACATGGTTAGCATAGGGGCCATCTGATAGACTTGCAGTGTTGGTATATCTTGCACCTCGTAATGCTGTGGCTATAAACACTCATAGCCCATTATAGTTTCTGGTAGCCACTGGAAGAGTCTGTTGTCCCTGCATCCGCGATATTTCTCATAGTGTCTGCCTTCTCCCGTAGGTTTTATATGGTCCTGGTCCAGGGTTTGCAGATCTCAGACTTCATCTGTAGACCTGTGCTGGCCAGCATCATCTTGAACTCCACGTCGCTCTTCTGCTCTGACCTAAAGGGTGTTAACGTCGTGGTCCCCTACTTCATCTCCGCCCTGGAAAACATTCTGCCGGACAGGTCTGTGATTTGCCCTCTGTCATCGTGTTACTGTTCACAGAAGGTCAAAATGTTGGGTGAAATGCCTTGTCATTGTTAGACGGTCAGAATATCATTAGCTGCCGATATTTACTCTGGAATGGACAGAATTTCTGTAGATTGTTCTTTTAAATAAATGAGCATCTTCAAATGGCAGCTGATCATTCTTCTGTTCTCCAGGGAGCTTTCCAAGTTCAAATCCTATGTCAACCCCACTGACCTGAGACGAGCTTCCATCAGCATCCTGCTTTCAATGCTTCCTCTTCCTCACCACTTTGGGAATATAAAGTCTGAGGTCAGAATGACCAGCCCGCCCCCCTCCCCCTCTTCTGTCGAGTCCTGTACCTGGTTCACCATAATTGATTCCTGTGGTTCCTGTGGATGACACTGTTTTGTGGGATTCCTATAGGTGCTGCAGTTTCCATATGCAATCCATAGACAGATTAATTGGCATCTTTTCCCATAGTATGTGATTGTATGCATGTATGTGGCACATATCCAGGGCATAGCTCAGCCTTGTACCCTGTGCTCCCCGGAATTGGCTGTAGGCCCCCATTACTCTGACTTCGGATGTCCGGTTGCAAGATAGATGAATGTTTGGTCCCTTAATGTCTGCGGTGCAGAACTGGATGACAGTTGGGTCATTTCCTTTTCTGCAGGTTCTTCTGGAGGGCAAGTTCAGCAATGATGAAAACTCAGTATCCGACAAAGCTCAGACCTTCCTTTCCCTGAGGTTGCGGCTGGTGAACATCCTGATCGGGGCCCTGCAGACGGAGACCGACTCCATCAACACGCAGATGATCCTGGGTCGGTCCCTCTGGCTGTAGCTGCTCTCTTACACATTCGCTTACGCATGTTGAGGAAGGCCAATGTGCCAATGCTGGTCTTCTCTTTTGAAGGTGCGATGCTGAACATCGTCCAGGATTCTGCCCTTCTGGAGTCGATAGGGACGCAAACTGAAATGGTAAGGGGAGTAAAATATTCCCAACTGACGGATGCCTGTTTCTGCATTTGAATGGATGTAGTCATCAGTCTGAAAACCTTTTCAGGCCTAAGAGTCACAACAGACTGCTCGCTTCCCGTGTGGATTTATACGGTCATTAAGCGGCTCTAGACAGGTGTTCTGCACATCGCACATGTCTGCTCGTGTTTTGCCTTGCAGGGAAGCATCGAGGGTAATGGCACACTGAAGAGCCACAGCCGTAACAACAGCAGTATCAGCACGACCAGTGGAGGCAGCTCGCAGCCCACAACGCCAGACAGCGAGCGTCCGGCTCAGGCCCTTCTCCGGGACTACGGTAAGACCCATGCGGGATCCATCCAGGGAAGCAGCCAGCAAATCACCAGTTTTTTTTCTTGCACATTGAATGTAGGGAAATGGATGGTTTTTAGGGCCTTTTTGTGTGATTAACTTGCTCTGATATCATCCAAATATGAGTGAAGCATGATGTATTTTTTTTTTCTTCACAGCCATCTTCCAAGCTCTAGGTTAAACACCCGATTTTCCATTCCTGTCTTCTTGTCCACAGCTCTTGTTTTACACCTTCCTGGTGATGCTGATTGGGGGGGAAAAATCAGTTTAACTGTGATTCCTTTTTTTTAGCTTGCATTATAAAAGTAATTAGCAGGTATAGAAAGTTATGTATTGTAATGTACTTGTATGGACAGTGGGTTTGTTTTTTATTTCAAGTTTGCAGTGAGGCTGTGGTGTTCCATTTCAGGATGTTTTCCTATCATAAGTACATTTATAGTGTCAGTACCACATGAAGTTTTTTTAAGAATAATTTTACATTCGGGTTTCTGCTCATGTTGTGATCTTCCTGGGGGCAAATTTTGAGATTTATCAAAATAAAACCACCTTTTTATTAATCAACTTTGCATCGGCTTTGTCAGACTAAAAGTGCTGAAACTATGAGGCTATAAATGTCAGCGTGTTTCCATGTGTCACTAACAGCATGTGTGACGTGGTGTGTTTGCTGTCCTGGTGACACTGCTGAGGTCATCAGCTTCAAGCTTTAGGACAGTGAACAATTATTACTTTTGTTGAGGGAAAAGAAATTGCTGTGCCACAATTGTAGGTTATTGTACATTTTTTATACTGTATTTCATCTGAAATGGGGGGCGGCATGGTGGTGCAGTGGTTAGCATTGTTGCCTCACACCTCTGGGACCTGGGTTCGAGTCTCCGCCTGGGTTACATGTGTGTGGAGTTTGCATGTTCTCCCCGTGTCGTCGCGGGGTTTCCTCCGGGTACTCTGGTTTCCCCCCACAGTCCACAGACATGCCGAGGCTGATTGGAGTTCCTAAATTGCCCATAGGTGTGCATGTGTGAGTGACTGGTGTGTGTGTGTGTGTGTGTGTGTGCCCTGCGATGGGCTGGCCCCCCATCCAGGGTTGTTCCCTGCCTCATGCCCATTGCTTCTGGGATAGGCTCCGGACCCCCCGTGACCCAGTAGGACAAGCGGGTTGGAAAATGAATGAATGAATGAATTTCATCTGAAATGTTTCATATTAATTATAGTATATAATTTCACTATTTGCCCCCCCCCCACCACTTTTCACCAGACAGGCTACAGGCTTTGAGAGAACACACTTAGCGGAGAGTGTCGTTCTCATTCTTCCAGCCAGTAGCAGGTGCTGTTGTAGGACAGTACCCAGTGTTGCACCAGGTTTTAGACCAGGGACTGTTACTTTGGCACAATGGGCATCAAGCTCTTTTCCCATCTGGGGGAAGCCAAGCATTTAAAAAAAAAAAGTAGTTATTGGTTGTTTGCGGAAGAAGCCTCTTAACACACATCAGTCTGTTTTGCAATGCTCTGGACCTCACAGTGGGCGATGCTACAGCATCTATAGCAGCGCTGCAGTATGATTGGCTGACTGGTTGAGTGTGCCTGATGCTTATAGGGTGACTGCTTTGCTTGTGGTTACTAATGCTGAGTTCTCCCTCTCTGTGGTGTGCATGCGGATATGGGGTTACATCATAGCTCTTCATACAGATACAGCCGCCGGCCTCCTGGTCCGCAGTATCCACCTGGTCACCCAGAGACTCAACAAGCAGTGGAGGTCCGATATGAGCGTGTCGCTGGCTGCCCTGGAGCTCTTGGCTGGCCTGGCCAAGGTAACGCCGTGAGACTCCCACCGCTGGCCGTCGGCCTGGGAACCCAGTCCTGTTACCTGTGCTCTCTTTCTGATTGCCGCCACCTTTCAGGTGAGAGCCAATTTGGAATCTTCGGACAAGAAGTGCGCCGTCAGCTCCGTGTGCGGCTACATCGTGTATCAGTGCAGCCGGCCCGCACCACTGCACTCGCGGGACCTGCACTCCATGATCGTGGCGGCTTTCCAGTGCCTGTGCACCTGGCTGACGGAGCACCCTGACATGCTGGACGAAAAGGCAGGTCGCCCTTTCCTCAGTGTGCAGGCGGGGACGGGAATGAGGGGCCGTGGCTCAGAACCCAGACTCAAACCCCCCCCCCCCCATCTGTGTTTCACAGGACTGCCTGATAGAGGTGCTGGAGATCGTGGAGCTGGGGATCTCAGGGAGCAAGTCGAAGACCAGCGAGCAGGAGGTGCGTTACAAGGGGGACAAGGAGCACAACCCGGCCTCCATGAGGGTGAAGGACGCCGCGGAGGCCACACTGTCCTGGTGAGTGCGCTGGGGACGCCGTAACTGCATTCACTGCCCTGCTGGGGACGCCGTAACTGCATTCACTGCCCTGCTGGGGACGCCGTAACTGCATTCACTGCCCTGCTGGGGCATGTTCCAGGCAGAACACAGGCCTTGGGGCTGGAGTGCAACCTGGGTGGGATGGCAGTAAAAAAATCTGGTTTATATGTATATAATGATGGCTCCAGATGAGCCGTCTTGCAGGGTCTCTCTAACCAGGCGTGCCCCTTTCTTGGCCCGTCCCCGGACAGCATCATGCAGGTGCTGGCCGCCTTCCCCTCCCTCAGTGGCCCCTCGTCCATGTGCAGCCTGCTCAACGAGGACACTTTGATCCGCTACTCCAGGCTTACCTCCACCAGCAGGGACAACTTCCGCTACTTCGTCCTGGACAACTCCGTCATTCTGGCCATGCTGGAGCAGCCGTTGGGGAACGAGCAGAGTAAGTGGGTGGGCATGGTGCCTGAGAGGCTCTGACAGAGGTCAGCCACAGAGGCCGTATGAAATGTGAGGGCATTGGTGTCGTGGCAGCGGTGTTTGATGGCAGGATCTTGCCGTGCGTGTAGAGCCAAAGGATGGCATTTTCCTGCTTTTTCTCCTCCTCAAAGACCCCTGTCCTGCTGTGACCATCCTGATCCGAGGCGTGTCCGGCAGACACGCATGGACCATGCAGCTGTACCACCAGCCCAGAGTAGCGCGTGCCAATCAGAAGGTAAGGTGGTTCCGTGACGCCCAAAGTGTTTGGCTGCGCTGCAGTGGTACTCAATGTACCTCCCATGAATAATGCATGAAGCTATATGCTGTGTGCGCCTGACTGGCTTTGTTCCTTTATTCCGATCTCTTTGTTCCTCCTCCATTGTTGCTCCACTTCGCACGGAGGCCTCTCAGGGCGTAGCTTTTAATGAACACTCCTTCACGCCTTCTTTTCATTCACAGCAGGTATTTGTCCCTGAGCGCCGCCCCACCCCTAAGAACGACGTGGGCATTCGCTTCAACGTCAAACACAGAGCCTTCCCAGAGGAAGTCGATAAGATCCCTTTTGTGAAGGCGGACATGAGCATTCCGGACCTGGATGACATCGTAAGCAAGCCGGTGAGCACTTGCTGTTCAGCCGGTTCGGCCGTTACCGGCGAGGTGGCTCTTCTGTTGGACGCAAATAGAAAGCGAGGCATTGTAAACACTGGAATTGAGTCATTGAAGTGATGTTGAAATCGAAAACATTTCTGGAATTTTTTTGTGACGGGGTATGAATTTCCAATCTGCGTTTAACACAGGAATGTGTTTATCGCAGTTGCTTGGCGATGGGGGGAAGCATAACTAAGAGAAGAAGAATCAAAATTGTTGCTATGAAAATATGCCCTTTAATTATGTGTGTAATTACTAATGTTTGGTTTGTAGCAAGGATATATGTAGGGGTGGGGCCATAGGAGCACTGACCCCAGCTGAAAGTTGATTGGCCACTGGAGTGCCCCCTCTCCTATCACTCACCCATTCAAAAGATATCATTGGCTAATTATAATGTTTGCCCCTCTGTATGAATTATGGTCCCTCTTATGCCACCTACCTTAAAAATTTTATTTCCCCTGACTGATGGGGGGAGCCTTCTGTAAAGTAGAATTTTATTAAGGTGGGTTATTCATTTGCTCAAGGTCTTGGCACTTTGAGTAAATGTGTAGTGAGTTGGTGGGGCCCTCTAAAAAAAGACGCCTCCCTTCCCCACCAGCTGGAGGTGCAGCACGAGAAGCTTAGGAACTTGATGGTCAAGCAGATGGAGTACGAGGTGGCTCTGGAGCGCCAAAGCGAGGAGGTGTGGAAGAGCAAGCCCTTCCCCGACCCCCAGGTGGACTGCAAGCCCCCGCCGCCCTCGCAGGAGTTCCAGACCGCGCGCCTCTTTCTCTCACACTTCGGTTTCCTGTCCCTAGAAGCACTGAAGGTAGGGAAGGAGGCCTCCACTTCTCGGCATGTCAGGCCCACCTGCCCGTTCTGTATTGGCTGACCCGACTTTTCCCGCAGGAATCGGGTAACAGCCGGCTGCCGCCAAACCTCATCGCTCTGGATTCCGCCCTGCCCGGCTTCTTCCAAGACATGGAGTACCTGGACCTTCTCCCCTGCCGGCCGTTTGACACGGTGTTCATTTTTTACGTGAGGGCGGGTCAGAAGACCAGCCAAGAGGTACAAACTTGCACCAACCATCCATCCTCCATCTACTTATCCAGGACCAGGTCGTGGGGCGCTTGGACCCTGACCTCAGAAGCGCAATGCAGGGGACACCTCAGATGCACACTGGGCATTCTAGAGAGGCCAGCTGCGTGTTTATGGACTGTGTCCCACACGTCCTACACGTGCCTGCGATGAATGATGTGGTACTTGTGGGCTAAAATGGCCTTTGCACTTGTTTCACTATTTATGGAACATGCACGGTGTGTTGCACGAAAAATATCAGATCTATTGTAATAAAATCTAAAACACCATATTGCTGAATCTACGTATACTATACCACAAGTGTGCTTGTGTTTATACAGCTGAATGCTTTACTGATGCAGGATAGCTTAAGTACTTTGTTCAAGAGTACAACAGCAGGGGTATTCCTGGGAGTTAAAACTTCACCTTATGGCGTTTTTCCACTGGCGCCAAGAACCGAACTGTACTGCGAACTGACAGTTTTTCATGGTAAAATATCCAAGCCGTACCTATGCTGCTATTCTGCTTAATAGCAGGGCTGAAAGCATGACCAAACCAAGCTAGTTGTGTGACCACCATCTGCATCTGATTGGCTGAAATGCATGGAGATACCGGTGTTCTATGTCAATATGCATGGATTATCTGGAGGGAAAAAAAGGCATATTGTGCATTATTTATTGTTAGTAGTATTGTACATTGTGGTGTATTAATGCATTCTCGATAACTCAACCTGAAAATTTCCACTACGTACATCTATTTAAAGTAATGTGGAACAGCTGAACAGAATGGATTTGTAATGCAAATTTACCCAAGCGAATGCAAATTCCACTAGCGTTTGATGCTAACATAAGACAAAGAGTCTCTCAGACTTGCTAGCAGAAATTTTGCATGCAGTAAATCATGATGAACAATAAATAAGTGTGTCTGGTTTTACATCACTGTCGCTCTCCAAACCCGGCAACGCTTTTAACGAGCTGACCCTTCTGCAGTAGAAAACCAAAGCAAGTTGCAGCTGCGCTGTAGTAGTCTGTCTTCACAGCACGACTCAGGTACAGCTCAGTTCCTGTAAGCTAGTGGAAAAGCACCATCAGTGCCCTAAACCACTATACTCCTGCTGCTCCATGAATATACATTTTTGTTCCACATCATAATGTGCCTTGTATATCTCACCAATATGAATTCTGCATGCACTGCTTAGGCCTGTGGTTTTGCTGTAATTTACATACCTGGCATTTTGGGATCTGCAGATCTTGAGGAACGCGGAATCCTCAGTCAACATCCAGCCACATTTCCTGGAGTTTCTGCTGTCCCTGGGTTGGCCTGTAGATGTGGGTAGTCACCCAGGGTGGACGGGGAATGTGGACACCAGCTGGTCCATCAACTCCTGTGTTGATGGCGAAGGTCAGCAGCAGGGTGAGCGCGGCCACTCCTTCCTGCTTTTGGAGGTCTTTGACCCTCTGCGTGTCACATTAGCAGCCCTCTGCGCATAGCGTTCACGGCTATCTGATGTGCTCCATCTTAACAGAGGAAGGATTCCCGGTAGATGACACCAGTGGATCCATGTTTAATGGCGAGAAGAAAGTCCTGTATTACGCTGATGCTCTGACTGAAATTGCCTTTGTTGTTCCGACTTTGACAGATGCCTCCAGTAAGTACCTACCCAAGGTTTCCTGATCCTGTACATTAATTCTTGTAGTCATTTCGGTATTCAAGGTTTTCCATTAGATTTAACTGTTACATTATAAAGTACAGGATTTTGACATTTCAAGATCTTTTGTTGCTCTTTTTTTATTGGTCTTAATTTGATACTGTCTTGAACTGGTGGAAGGTATATATACCCTGAAGGTGCATGTGTACAAGCCTGTACCTTCACAGACGTCTGGCACATATTATTAAAACCGTCATTTGCTTAGTGTGCATTGTTGTATTAATGATTAATGTTAAGAGCTGAGTTGTGAATCCTGGGACGAATTTTATGCAGGGTCATTGTCAGGGGTCTGACATGTCCTGTTACGGAGTGCTTTTCAGCAAACTCAGTGGTAAATAGTGACTTTCTGTATATCCAGTTACATGGATTCAGTTTAGGTGTAACTGATCTGATGTGCTGCTTTGTGTGTGGATGCAGGTGACTCCTCGGAAAATGGCCACACCCCGTTAGATACGGACTCGCAGATGGGCCTGCTGCCTGGCATTCAGTCCAACCTGACGCTGGAGCTCTTCCCAAACCACTCTGAGAACCTCGGCCAACCGCAGAGGGTAATGCTGTGCTGGTGCTGGCCGCTACCTCAGTTGTCTTGGGCATTCCCAAGCCCAGCATGGACTGGGATACTCTGTTTCTCATGATACATATTTTTTTTAAAAATTCAATAAGTTGTTTTGGTACTTGTAACTCACTGCTGAATATCAGTTAGAGAGATAAGACTTTGGATTGGTAGATTTGTAGAATGTTGATCTCAGAGTGGTCTTGAAATTAAGCCATGATTGATTGCCAGCACACAGCAGTACAACCAACTATGGGCTTCAAAACGCAGTTTCCTCCAGTACAACTAATCATAAATGGAAGATTTATATGTGGTGGGTTTAGGATGTGCAATTTTGATTTTTGTGTGTGTTAGATGAGCCCCACTTCAAAGACAAAGAAAATTCACTGTGGAAGGAACATACCTCCTCTGGGCCCAGAGACAAAGGTTCTGGTGGTTTGGGTGGAGCGCTATGATGACATCGGTAAGTAAAGCCCTTTATTCCTGCTTTACATTCATATACCACCAGCATGTACTTAATCTTACTACACAATATGAGACATGCCAACTATGAATGGAAGAGGGTTGTACACTGGTCAGCGTTAACAATCACTTTGTATTCATTCTTTTAAAGAACAATAGTGGATTTTGTGCTCCAATCTATCATTTGAAGCATTAAGCTCCTTTACTGAAGAGGGTTGGCTTTGTCAAGCAGTCAATGGTGGTGTCCCAGTAATTAATGTGATTAGTTAATGTCCTGTGGAATACCTTTACTTGGCATTTTCTGTGTGTTACCTCATCATTTCTGCCACTTCCCCTCCCCTTTTTTCCCCCAGAAAACTTTCCGCTTTCAGATCTTTTGTCAGAAACCAGTACTGGAGTCGAGTCGTCAAACAGCAGCACATCATACAGGTATCTAGCGGCGATTTTTATATGCTTAAACACCCAGGTTTGAAGACTGCATCTGAAAGATGATCTTGGCTGTTTCCTGGAGCATTAATTTGGTGTATGATAACAGCAGTGTTCACACTGGCAGTCTGAGGTTCTGCATTGCCGAGCTTGGGTCACTGTGTGGCATATTGTCATACATTGTGTGCCTGGGCTGTTGATAAATGGATCATCCCCTGTTCTTTGTGTCACGTTAAAGGCCTCGCTGCTCTTTCCACAGGCCGGTTGCTTCAGAAAAAGACGTCCCAGTGGTTTTCATTCACCCCCTGAAGACCGGATTGTTCCGCATCAAGCTGCATGGAACGACGGGCAAGTTCAGCATGGTCATCCCCCTGATGGACGGCATGGTGGTCAGCCGGAGGGCGCTAGGTGAGGATGGGCTCCAGGTGACGAAATCACCACCTGATTTCTTAGCTCCACCAGAGTTTTTTAATCTCTTTTTCTCGTGTGTGCCCGGCCCACAGGGTTTTTAGTGAGGCAGATGGTCATCAACGCGTGCCGGCGGAAGAGGCTAGAGAGTGACTCATACAACCCTCCGCACGTGCGGCGGAAACAGAAGATCGCCGACATCTTCAACAAATACCGCAGCAAACAGCTGGAGCCCGAGTTCTATACCTCACTCTTCCAGGATGTAGGGGGGAGGAGCTTGAATCCTTGACCCTGCCCACTGAACACCGGACTACTGCTGGACCAGCACCAAATCCTATATATTTCTAAAACTATTTTTGTTACTTCTCTCAGTACACGACTATGTCATTTTAAAGGGGATGTCCACGGTAGAGTGGTACGTTTACCACAGAATCATGGCCACACCAGTCTGCCAGCCGCCCCAGGCCCACCCAAACCTGCTGGTACCCCAGGACAGCCCCGGGAGCTCTGGGGAGGGGGGCAGTGGGCATGCTGCTGTGTATCAGAGAGTAGAGAGAGTCTGCCAAAGAGGTTAAGTAGCAGATTGGAGGGGAGTGATGGAGCTGAATCATTTTTTCCCTGGAGAATCCAACAGTGTCCTGTAGATCTCTGAGCGATTTCCACTGTTTCACTGTATGTATCTGACACTGATCAGCAGTTGGCTTTTCCATGACTTATTTTATGGACAAATATTCTGTACAACAACCAAATAGTCAGATAATAGCAATCTCCTATGCTACTTTTGTTGCTCCTTCAGTTATTGCAATAGACACAAGTAAAAGACCTGCCTTTTCGTAAAGTAAAACCCAGATTAACTCCTCTACGCCTGATTTCAGCCGTCAACATTCATCAGCGTTCATGTTAATAGTCTCAGGTAGTTTATCCTGCATGTTACATATGCATTTCTGTTTGGTCATGCATTTAATCTGCAAGCTGATCATTATCCCCCCCCCTTTCATTGTTGTGTAATTAAGGTAATTTTTTTTAATCAATTTTCTTACATTGTGGAATTCAGTACAGTCATCATCTGCTTTTAGCCTGATTTAATTCAGGACTGTTCTTGGCAATCACAATGTTGTGTTTTGTCCATATTGACCCATTGTGGGTGTTTATCTATTTGCTTGTTTTAAGAATAACAAAAAACATCATTATGGCAAATTTAGCCCACCAAGTCTTCCCTCTCTTTTCGGCAGTCCTTTGGCTCACAATAAGAACTGAAAGCAATATGTATTTCAAAACCATTCACAATTAAAGGTATGAGGGGTAGACTTGTTACTCTTTTAATAGTGCCAGTGGTCACGGACACTTATAAAATCTCCAGGGTGAAAGGTTAACTTATGTTGAAAGTAGTTGTGTTTTTTTTTTGCCCTCACTGCTGTTTTGGCTCGGTGCACATTCTGCTTCTCTTTTGACCCTTAATTTACACCTCCGAAGGTGTCACAACCCTTTAGCCCACTCCAGGCCTTACAACACATGATCGTTACACACCTAGAATGAAAGACTTTGAACGTCACTGTTCATGTATCTTCAGCTGGTTGTGTCAAGTCTATGTACCAATAGTTTTTAAGTACTTTTTTAAAAATGGAAAAATAAACTGCTTGGCATATACCTACTGAATGCCTACCGTTACTGTTTAATTTACTCTTTGAACACTCCATTTAAAAATACTGTGGCATTTTTGGTTAAAACAAACATTACTACTCAAAGAGAATTGTTTTCAGCAGAGATATTGTCATGTCAATGAAGATACACATTTTAAACTTTTGAAAGAGATTGCACAGAGGAATGTGAAAGGGTATACTATTAAAGCCATTATTTGCTAGAAACATAATGGTACATTGTTTAAAACAGCCCAAACTTGATTTTTGTCCTGTTCCTTTTGAACAGCTTGTGTTCTGTAAATATTGCTGGCTTTAACTTGAGGTGTATAGAGCTGGACGTCTATGTGTAAATATGAAAATGTGAAGTTTATTTCATTTGTTGGTTCTCTTTATGAGGAAAGGCACAAAATGCGTGTTTGTATTTATGCCAACAATAAGTGTCCAAAAATAAGCCGTTGGATATTGAATGTAACACATGTATTGAATAAAAATTTTAAAGAGCTTCTTATCATAAAAACATAGCTGCGTTTTATTGTGGTTATTAACAGAACCCTTATAAATTAACAATGCATATATGGCTAGTATAGTTAGTCCTTTTTAGATGCAGTTCTACAGTTTGTATTTTAAAACGGTTATACAAGCTCAGATGTTTTTCCTCAGTACGTAAGTGCTAATGCGGTTCTTTGGTATCATTCACCAATGTGAGACAATACCGCTTTCAACCAGCAGGTGGTATGTAACGCATTAGTTCCCTCAAATTTTTGAGATGTCTGACTTGAATTCTTTAAGGTTTTACATGATTAAATTCCTAATTAACGCATCCGAATGCATGTGGAAAATATACTAAACCTAGATTCATGGTTGTATAGCTTTGCTCCATTTTACGATTTCTTATTGGTTAAAGAAAGACACTCGTTTCTGAATTTAAATGTGTAGTGTACAACCGAAGTCAAATTCCTAATTTATAGGCATATATAACCTGAAAATACATTTGGCCAATACTTGACAGAAATGGTCTTTATTGTGTGAACAATATTAAGTAGGTAATTTAAAGATTAGAAAGTGGAATATTCCCCTGTCAAATTAAGTTTGTATATTGCCAAGCTAGTACTATAATGAGTAATTGTCGAAAATATGTAAAACGGTCATTTAACGATTATGAAACGTATGATATGGGCGGAGGTCCTAACTTTTTTGGGGTTAGGGGTTTACACTGCTTTCATGCAATACGCACCCAAAGAAAAACAGGATGTGGAAGTTCAGAAAACGAAAAAAAAAACGTTAAAGGGCTGGGCCATTATCTTTGAGACGCGAGGACGCGAAAACGAAAATGACATGTTGGTATCTTTCATCTTCGACAGACCCATAGAAGGTCCTGACTGCAACTTAAATCACCCTTAACTCCTAAATTGGACTCAGAACTACAGCTTCTTCGCGTTTAATTAGTGTCCAGTGCCTAATTCAGCGCCCCCCCCCCCCAAAAAAAAAGGGACCACATTTATTTATTTAAATAATACAAACTGTTTCGCAACTCCAATTAGCTGGCTGCTTGCAGCGGTAAACATTTGACAGGTGAATTTTAAGTTGCAATGTGTTTCACAAATCGCGTTCACACAAAACAAAGCAATTCCAGTCCAGCAGGGGTCACTGAAGAGCTGGGAGGGGGCACCCCCCAGCTGTCACAACTAATTCTGAAAGGGAGCTAACTTTTTTGCACCTGCCAGACATTTTGTCACACCATTTAAGTTTTTATATACCTTTTGTCATTTGTGTAATTCAAACTCCCAACATACTTATATGATTTTATTATTAAAAATAATTACAATTCTTTGCTTTGTGCCTTATTTTCACGTTAGTCGAATACTGGACGTAACGGTTCCTAATTCAGTTTAAAAAGGTACAGTTTCAAGTAAAGTAAATAGAATAATAAAAGAAAATAAATCATAATTTCAAAACAATTAAAACACATGATAATATTTAAATGCATGTTATATTTATTATGCGTCCCTGAATACCCGGTTCCTATTTTGCTCACAATCACAATTAAAAAAACATTCAGAGCGTATTATTTTTCTTTAACACCTTCGAACACACACCCCTGATAACGGAGATGCAGGGGTTGTCGCGCAATGTTCATATTTCGAAATAACGTAAAATAAGTTTTTTTTTATATTAAAAAATCACCTCGTTCCGATAAGTGTGTTATCATAATAAAGATACTATGCTCATATGGTGCTATATTAAAAGTTACAACTAATGCATATAAAATCACGTTCTGTCGAGGTTAATAACACTTCTCATTTTAAACAATCTTACGGCAAACAATTCGAAACGCTGCCAGATGAAAGAGAATAAACGAATATATGACCCAATACATTTGAGATAAATAAATATAACGTGCTATATTGAAATAGGTTGCATCACTTTCTCTGGAACGGTGCAACACATAAGTATTTGAGGCGGTGTCTTGTAGATGATCCCTGCGCTACTGTATGTCTCTGAGCCGCGAGACTCCGGCGTTCACCATTGAGTCCGCGCGCCGAGTGTGGCAACTTTAAAGCGAGCCGCTCCTTCTCTGACGCTGCCCGTTTCAGCAGCGAGGCGTTTAGTACTTTGGCCGTTTCTTTAAAAATAACATTGCGGATATTCATCCCTTTAAAGACTCGCAGTTTTTTTGCCTTGCGAAAAACAGCTTTATTTGTGAAAAACAAAGTTAAGGCGTTCAGCCCGAAAAACAGAAGCTCTCGCCAGCCGGCGGCTATTTGTTTTTGCTTATTATGAATACATGCTTTTATAAAACAGCAAAGAGGTGAACCGAGGAACTACTTTTTGCGTTTTTGTTTGTTTCTTCTAATACTTAAGGAAAGTTTTTTTCAGTATCTTAAGACCCGCGCATCCCTTTTCCTGCTGTTTGAAGATGCGGTGATGTAACTATAGCGGAATGGATTAAAAACGCGCATCCCAGGATTTGGTAGAAGTGTGAGAGTTTGTCTCTTGTTGCTGGCTGTGTTTCTAAGTAAAAGAGGCAATCGAGTTAAAGATGGACGAAGGGCAGCTGGAAAACGGGGTTCAGACCACCAAAGATTGCGATCGGCAGCTCCGTTTGAGACTTTGCGTTTTAAATGAGATCCTGAACACGGAGAGGGATTACGTGGGAACATTGCTCTTCATCCAGTCGGTAAGTGTTTGCTGATATGTATGCATAGCACATTGTAAAATATAACCCAACACTATTTCTGTCAAAGGCTAGCTATGCATTTTTTAATCTTCAGGCAAGATAATTAAAATATCGTATTGTTGTCAGTATAGTATACGCAGTCACGTTCCTGCTTGGCAAACGTATGTACAATGAATGTGCAATACTTGTGATCGACAGTGCAGTTATGTTGTGCATAATTAAATATGTTTAATCTGTCTCCATAAATAAAACGCCAACAGTCTTTATACTTTCCATGGGTGTCCCAATGGCCTCACATGGAAATGCAAGTTTCTCACCCATATGCATAAACGAAGTCAAGGGACCTGATGCACTAACCATGTGTACGAACAAGCAAAGTTTAATTTTTGTCTCGTCAAAATTATTATAGGCCTATCTGATATTTTCTTCCTAAAGCATGTGTGTGATCAAGTATATTAATGCTTTCCTGAACACGCCGAGGTGCCTTACTTTCATTGATGGGGAATTTGATTGCTTTGCTCAGACTAAACTTCCTAGTTTGCTTATTAGTCGTGCTTGTATGAAATGCCGAACTGCGATTTGTAGCCTTGTTTGTGTTTTATCTTGATACGGACCACTGAGTAAATCGTCCGCCCGCAAGGCGGAGGGCAGGAACTCTATCGATCCAGAGTTATCTCCACCGCTTAAGTTGTTACGTATTAGCCATTTGCTTTATTACCTGTCTCCGTCTCGTTCCCCCTGTATTGTCTGTGATAATGTTAAGTATAGTTATGGACGTTCGTGCCACGGCCCATAGGGAGGCCATATGATCCTTTGACGGGGGATTATGTAAATGAATTCGCGACGTATTCACTGATTGTCTTTTGATGTTGCGTGTCTGTTCACACGAAAGGGGAATCCTTTTAAAGTGTCTCATTACCTTACAGTGTGATCGTGGGGCAGATTAAAACTTTCCAGGTTGTTTTTTCCCCATTAGAGAAACTGGCTACTAGGGGCACAAGTGAGTGTAAACAAAGAGCCACGCTTGTGGCTTCTGATCTTGCTGCCTTTTACTGTGCATGATCAGTCTAGGACGTGACCGGTGCGTGTAGTGTAGAAGACGGGTAATTCACCTCCAGTAAAAAAAAAAAGAAAAAAGAAAAAAATCTACAACTATGTGGGATTGGGGAGGTTGTCACACTCAGAAGATCATGAAAGAGTTGAGGAAACAGAAAGTGGTTATTGAACAGAAGTGAGGTTTGTTTGTTTGTATAAAACATAAAAAAATCACCAAAAAATTCCAGTCTGTTGTCACAGCCTATAAACAGATCTCTGAGAGGTGTATTTGAATCAAGTCCTTCGCAGAGTGAATATCAAGATGTGTAATGAATTCTCTGTATCACGGAAAAAAACCTCAGCCATCAAAGAAATTAGTCAGATTCATATCAGGACCGGCTTTCGGTCTTTAAATACCCAACCACGCAGAGCTGGAAGGCGTCTCAAAACGAGCTACGCCGGCACCTTGCCTGCAGACCAAACTTTCCTGAGCAGATGTTGGAAATGCATTGTGTGGATGGTCCTGAACACCAGAGTTCTAGGTTCTGGTCTTGCTGGGCCAAGGGGGTCCAGATAGGCAGGGAATCTGTGGACTGGGTTGTTGATGCGAGTGATGTGTCAGGCACTGTGGCTCCTCTCCCGTGGCATTATGTGGAATCCCTTGATTTAATCCACATTCTCTACATGGGATCATGAGGTTGGGGTGTGTGTGTGTGTGTGCGTGTGCGTGTGTGTGTGTGTGTGTGTGTGTGTGTGTGTGTGTGTGTGTGGGTGTGGGAGAGGGAGAGACGGAGGGTGAGGCTGCTCTGATCACGCCAGTTATTCTGCGTAGGTCACATTGGCTGAGAGAGAATAAGAAACAGACTCTTATTGTTTGACTTTGTTTGCCCTTTTTCTATTTTAAGCATTACGATGCCGCAATCTGCAGTAATATATTTTATAAACTACGTTCTACTCAATACCCTTTGTATCTGGGATGAATTTATTTCCTTGTCTTGATTGCAGCATTTCCTAGTAGTTTATTATTTAGCTGTGCATTTTATTTATCTCTATCTATTTTTATTTGTTTCTTTGTTTATATTCAGCCGAGCATGTGCTGCTGTGTCTGTGTGACATCTCAAATACTACATTCATAAAATTGGTGAGGTGGCTTTCTCCTCCACGTGGCTTTAAGTAGTGCATGCTTTATCATTAAAGGCCTCATTTGGCACAGATAAGGCGTCTGGCCCCAAGCTGGAGGGGAGGCCATATGGTTTGGGTAAAGATAGCTGTGTCTGTCCTCACTTCACAGAGGGAGGGTTAGGGAGGAGGTGGTGGGGGGGAAATTGAATCAATCCTTGTTAAATGTGACATCTTTTCTTCATTAAGGAGCCATCCTGTTGTCTGGGTCACTGCTGTTGCTCGGCACGGCAGCTCATCCGCTTGCAGGGCAGGTACAGAAAAATCAGATTGATGGATTGTCCCTGTTTGTCTTCTATTGATTGCACTTGAGGGTCCTGCCTGTAAGAAATTTGAAACATTCAACACTTTGCTTCATTAGCTGCAAACATGCCAGGAAAATGGCAACGGGCTCCATGATGCTGGCTGTCATGTTCGCTTGCTGCGAGCATATGCCTGTTTGTAAAACACCTGAGTGGTTTTGTGTGTGTTTTGTTCTTGTAGCAAGAAGCCAAAAATGCATTCCAGTTTGGAGGGCATTGTGTGAGAGGAATGCCTTTTGCAAGCCTTTGTGGCGATAGGTGTGAATAATGACGCCAATGTGCTGTCGGTCAGCTAGGTGGGATTTATGGGGATGCAGAGATTCGGTAACCCTGCGGGAAAAAAGGGCAGGTGATTCCGCAATCCTGATAACAGCTTTAGTGTTCCAGGACAATCAATGTGGAAATTAATGTCACCTTAAAGCTAATTTGTTCACGCTAATTTTTCCACTGATTTGCTGAGCGAATTGTGCTCTTTATCGGTGCTCCCCCATAGCGGGTCACTGTATGTTCTGAACATTCGTGTAACAGGCCTTAAAACATATCACCATGGAATGAACCTCCTGCCCACGTGGGGGGCTAACGAGATGCTGGAGAACTGGAAACATCTGAATATGTCCCTTGCACCCCCTGAAATGGCATAATTGCCACCTGTCGTTGATGAAGCTCTGCCACCGTGTCATTACCCTGTGAGTAACGAGCGAGTACTCCAGGTCTCCACTCTGATTTTCTTGGGTGGTGGTGGTTTCGAGCTACTTCTTTCACCGCAGTGAAATTATAGTTTCTTCCCATTTTTGGCCATGCACGTGACATCCCCATCATGTGACGTGTTGCTGTTTCTGCAAACATTATTGCAGGATGCTGTGTGTGGTCCCCCTCCATAAGATACTGAGTAGCAATGTGTCTTCAGACCCCATTTTCCATACCATGCTTGCTGATTGTCCTATCGTGAGCTGGCAGCTTCTCTGCCGCTACAGCTGTATGTGTGAAAGGCGTCTCATGTTCTCCTTGGCGCTGTGCATGGCTGGCTGAGCTTCTAGCTTCCATTTATTGCTGCCGCATCATCTGAAAAGCCCACATTCCCATTTTAGTGCCTTCATTGAATTATGGCTGCGCTACAGCCTTCCTTCTGTTACTTTAACCTCTTCGGGGATTTTTGCATCTGGAGGTCGAGTTTACCGCAGTTTGACCTCCAACTCTCTGGCTTAACAAACCGGGATGGTCATGAATACTTGGGTTAATTGGGGGGAACTGTTGGAAGTGCATCCTGTTCCACCTATCTGCAGGGAAAACAGGTGTATTCTTGTTTGGGTTGTGCTGAGGGAAGTGGCACATTGAGACCAATGTCTCAATCAGGAGATATTGGACTGAATGGTCAAGAACAGCCTAGTATAATGCTGGATTTTCTAACCCAGTTTTACTTACACAAATATTTGTGTCCAGATTAGTCTCTCTTGCAGGCATAAGTGTTATTTTGTTGTTCTTTCTGATATTTCCGGGATACATGAGCCTAAAACGATCATCTAAAGCTTCTAATAGTTTGTATAAATTGTCCCTACTGATGTGTACATATGGAAGACTGTCACTTGGTGGTTCAGGAAACGGGTCAGTTTTTGTGTGAATTTAGCGCCACAGTGCATGGGCGGAACGCCTGTTCGCGTGTTCGGCACAATGGGAGATGAGAGGCAGGGCACACGGTCAGCAGTCTGTTTTTCTTGAGCTTCCTGGTGTCAATGGCACATGGTGCTGAGGTTGGATGTACAATGGTATGGAGAAGAGGCCAAGCAGTTCATCTTGCAGGACTTTGTGGCGTGTCACATGTGGGGTGGAACTCCATCTTGGATAGAGTGGCTTTTGTTGAAATGGAGATTCTCGTCATGACCTTAATTTGGCCCCAGTCATTTTCAGTGGAATTCTTCTTGGAAATGAGACAAACTCCCTCATCCTCTATATGGTTTGCAGTGTTTTGACTTTGCTGATGAAAATATGGCATTTGAGGAGATGTGGTAGAAATAATGACAGAGAATAATTTAAAAGTATTACTGGTTTTGCAACATTATGCTTTTTAAATTAAAATTGGAATGTAACTCCAAAAAGTCTCTAACTGATATATGTAATTGCATTGAATTGAGGGGACCACTCATACTAGTATCAGGCTGACTATCAGATATTCTGTGTGTGTCCATCTCCTAACCCAGCATCCATGACTTTTGATAAAATGATTTTGATGCCCTGCACCATCATGTGTTGACGAAGATGCCTAGTAAAGCAATATATATTTTTGTAAAGGAAGTTCACTATATTTGCTGTTTCGTTTTCGTATTAGGATCGAGAATGAATGAAATGTAATGTCACTTTTATATGTTTAAGGGAACGCTCGAGCAGGATGATTGTGAAACTGTCGATGTCTGCAAGCCAGCTGGTGCATGTGGAACGGGAAGTGTAGATCGCAGCCTGTTGTCCTAAAGGGCCCTTTCTACACCGATG